CGTGGCTCTGCATGCCCCGTTATGCACTGGGCCATGGGTGACCCACACCTACACGAGGAACTATATTACAACAGTACATAAACAAGGAACAAACACCTATTTATACATACTGGTGATATTACCTAGCTGAAATGTCTGCAAACAAATAACCAAGCTCAGAGAGCACCTGCCTCCATAATTCAACCCTGAGTAACCTATGTTCTAATCTATTGGAATTTAGGTACTGGCCAACAACGATTATCAACCTTCAAGAGTATATGCATATTTATTTACATTACTAATCCATACACCTCTAGCATCACCCATCTTTTATCCATAAACATCCTAAACAATCAGGAAGACATCACATATTATCTTACTCCTTGCTTGATGCCAAACTATTCTCAAAGCATTCAGTTTATTCTGGTACAGCCTCTATTTCCATCAAAGGGTTCTTTTACTGCATTCAGCATATGATTAATGCACCAAGATTGAGGGATGACATTCACATCCAGAATTGATGAAAAAGAGAAAATTGGGACAGTGACAGTCAGACTGACAGTGAAAACAGAATGAAGGCAATCAATTATGTCCCATTTATTTCTATACCTATATTATGCCTAACAACCAAGCTAACTCTGGAAAGCTCAAAATGTTTGTTATGCTGCTTCTAATGAACACTTTACTGCTAATTTTGACAAAAAGTATACTATGATTGATTTTTAATTCCTTGCTTTATAGAATCTGCAGTAGCAGAAATCCAAAAGAAGATCACCGAAGCCTTTGAAGTGTTTGACCACGAGTGTAATAAAACTGTGGATGTCAGGTTTGGAAAATCTCATCTGTTTAGAATTAATAGCCCTAGTGATAAAGTAATGTGGGTTAGTAAAGGCAATTATTTTAAAGAGAAATGTGCAACATTTTGATTGGTTTTAGATTAATTAAGTTAGCCCCAATGTGGTTGGTTGTCTATTGCAGAATGGAAACTTCCCAGAAATCAGGAATCTGAGATCAGAATGGTTTGGCTGAATGCATAAGAGAAGAAGTTAATGTTAAGCACAAATCAGAGATTGGGAAACATCTGTATTTACCATATAAATGGCAAATGGAGAAGGGAGGGAAGTTCTGTTCTCTTTGTTATGGAGGAAAAGCCTGAAGTGTGAAAATTTAGGTTTGACAAAAATTAACAGAGGGTAAGTTCTAGTTTGGTTTGCTTACTATAGTTACCAGATTTCTGTTGAGCTTTTCTTCCTGCAGTTGGTTTCTTATAACCCCTTTGCCTTGTTTGTTTTGTTTGTTTTATTGCCACAACCCTTTTGTTTCTTAACCACTATTCATTGTGGCAAAGTTTATTGCTAAGCTGGATATTTTGCTGGGATTTATTAAGAAAATGAGTAAACTGTTTTAGTGCTAGACTGTTTGTATTTTTGAAAGCCAATTATTGGCTGTATCTTTGTGTGTGTGTGTGTGTGTGTGTGTGNATTATAATAAAGAGATACAATTCTATATATACTTGTCTAATGCAAATATTCAAATATGTATATATTTCCAATACATTTATATGATAATCTTTTAAAAAACAACAGCAACAAACCTACTGTATTCTATATAAATAAGCCATATTACATTATACTTCTCTATGTCGATAAGCAATCCATCATAAGTGGAAAATGTGATCAGATCTGAACTAGATTACTATTTATTTCTTTTTTGTGTAGATAAGAGGATTTTTGTTACTAGGATCAACAGTATAAAACTGATGGAATAAGGTTCCTTGTATTCACCTATTGGCCAACTAGTGGGATCACTAATTGATTGATAGTGTTCTCAATATTTCAAAGTCAGCAGAAAAATAAAGATAATCACAAGTCAGGCTTCTATTTGCTTGTGAAGAATTAGGGAACAAAAATATTGTAGAACTGCTGTAGAACTGTTGTATAAGAAATCTCACTATTCACAATGCTGGTGTAAATTTATCCCTTCCTGATTCGCACTACATTTGTCCATATTCAATATTCATATGTATTCAATAGTGGTTTTGAATACACCCCAGATATTCTAGAGAGATTTGATTCCCATGTGTATACATATTTATGTAGCTGTGTGGGTATACACACATATACAAACTTTGTAGGGTGTCCACTAATTAAAGCAAATATGACTGTTACATTACATTGTCCTCTGTAACTGTTCCTTTGTTCATAAACATCCTAAACAATCAGGTAGACATCACACATATTTTCATTTAATATTATAGTCAGTGTTTCCAATTGGTTCTATAAATTAAGCAGTAGTCTAGAAGTAGTTTATCTTCTTAATCCCTACACTTCTGCTCTAAGAAGTTCCTTGATAAACTGCTTTAGGATACAATGGGCTGTATCTAGAAATTTTACCTGTTTTTTGTGATCCTACAATAGCTAGTTTTATTGAGGAAAACAGTCTACATTGGTTCTAGGCTCAGTGAAATAAAATAGATTTGATCACAATTTACTTGTCCAATTGATCTACCTGGGTTTAGTCTAAATATGGATCAAATCTCCAGACAGGTTTCCCACTTCACCCTGAAATACACGATATGGAGTATAGTCATGGTGGAGCTCACAACTGTGAATCTATTTTAGGAATTTCTATGCCAGCAGTTTAATTTAAAATATTATGTATATAAAAACACATTCACACAGGCATGTCAATCTTTTCTTTTTCAGGGTAAACAACTTTTTTTAGAACATCACAAATAAGTTAGAAAGAGTATGGCAAAGAAACAAAAAAAATCAAAAATTGTGTAGCAAAAAAGAGATAACATAAAGGCTAAGAAGGAAATAAAAAGATCAGAACACATCCTCTCCAGCAGCTAACACCCTGATAAGCAGGGATCAACACCAGATAAATCAAACAGAAAACAATGTCCCAATGAAGAAACTACCAAGGAGAAAACTATGCACCCAGCAACAGTGGCAGAGCAAGCTACTGTACATTGTAATGTTCCCGTGGTTCGTCCATGAGGCCAATATGGAGAAAAGACAGGACAAGAGCTTTCTCGGGATGGAGCAACCCAGATTGGGG